ATACAGCTACAGAAAGAGAAACATTGGCCGTAGTGTTTGCGCTAAAGACCTGGCGCATCTACCTCTTTCAACACTTTGAGGTCATTACAGACACCATGACGGTAGTTTATGTGAAAACAAAACCAAGCATTACAAAGAGAGAGGCGCGATGGGTTGAATTCCTAGATAACTATGACTACACAGTCCGTCACAGACCCGGCAGAGAGACCCCTGCAGATCCCCTTTCGCGTCGCCCAGATCTCCATGAGAGTAACCTCGTGGAGAATGCAGTACCACGTTTGAATGCTATCGAGTATTCTTAAGCAATGAATGATGACGTGTCCAATACAATATCAGATGCCTACCAGAGACAAAGAGCTAACTCCCATCATAGAAAGATTGAAGCATTCTCTCCGAGATAATTTGCATGATCGCTGTTATTGGGACGAATCCACTGATCGCTTGTACCTCAAGTCATCCCCCAATAACCGGTTGTGCATACCACAGTGCGGTGTCCGGTTAAAGCTCATTCAAGAACACCATGAGTGTGCAACGGCTGGCCACCCGGGTCGTGATCGAACGTACTTCCGCCTAGCACGTTTTTTCTACTGGCCCCGAATGGGTCTCGATATCAAGAGATTTGTCAAAACCTGTGATCTCTGCCAGCGAGCGAAGGGAGGTCAGCCACGAACAGGGCTTCTCCAGTCACTTCCAATACCTAATAGTCCTTGGCAGGATATCTCAATGGATTTTATTGTTGGATTGCCCCTTACTTCTCGTGGCGTCGACGCAATTTACACCTTTGTGGACCCACTTACGAAGTGCGTACATCTTGTTCCAACAAACTCGAAGATTGATGCTAAGGGCAGCGCTCAACTGTACATTTAAAACGTGTTTCGTCTGCACGGGCTGAGCTCGACCATTGTTTCCGATCGCGATCCACGATTCACTGCAGCTTTTTTCAAAGAAGTATTCTCTCAGCTAGGAACTAAATTGGCATTCAGCACCGCTAACCACCCTCAAACGGATGGTTTGACAGAGAGAGTTAACCGGCAAGTGGGAGATGTTCTAAGAGCATTTGTGAACTTGAGACAGGACAATTGGGATTCGCTTTTACCACTCTGCGAGTTTGCAATTAATAGTTCACTACAGTCATCTGTAGCTAATACACTGTTCTATCTGAACTATGGGTTTGACCCTAAGTCCCGCCCGAATTCATTCTTACGGGAGGGGAAAGGAGTGATTCGGTCGATTGGCTTCATGAGCAGGAAGTAGCACTAAGGATAGCTCGAGATGCAATGCTCGACGCCCAGGCTAGGCAAGCTCTATACGCAGACCAGACGAGAACGCCCAGTGATTTGAAGGTTAGTGATAGCGTTCTTGTCTACAGAGACTTTCTACTGACCCCGGAAGCTCGTGGCCAGCCCTCTCGGAAGTTGCAACCCAAGTGGTTTGGTCCGTATCGTATCCAGGCTAAGATTGGAGCGAATGCTTTTCGCTTGGAACTACCCCGTGAACTTCGCTGCCATCCCGTGTTTAATGTCACTGCTCTTAAACGCTGCGAAGAGAACACGATTCCTGGAAGACACCAACCCCCGCCTCCGCCCTTCACAGATCTAGATGGACACACATGCTTTGTTGTCGAAGCCGTTTTGAATCACCGACACCGCAGTGGTGAGCAACACTTCCTGGTGCATTAGAAGGGTTACCCCAGCAGCGAAGCTACGTGGGAGCCCGCTGGCTACCTATGTGATGAGTCTGGTCGGAATATTAAACCGCCGCAGAACTATCTAGCCTCACAACGACAGCAGCCTTGATCTAACTGGGCTGAGCCATATGCATCTCTTGCTGAGATAGTTAGTAATATGTTATAGACTGATATAGTTTTGCGTCATCTCCTTGTGAGAGTGATAGAGTTGAGTTGGATTACACTTCAATGTGGTTATGCATGTGCATGAGTGATTATTTAATATTCCCCTTTCCACAATTGCATCTCCTAACTGGATTGTGTTATCTAATAGAAACTTGGGTTTCCTATGGGGCCGGGAGAGTGTAATAGTTTTACCTTGACACTTCTTGCTTGTCTTATGGTAACACCTTGTGTTCCTACTGTTCTCACTCCTGCGGTTATCGCCTTTCTTTTGCTTTATAACCTCTGGTTTGAACATCACTCGACGAATTATCCAATCAACCAAGTCTATGCTGTTACACAGTATGTGTATGTAAAGTCAAGGTCACACGACACGGAGCACAATTGAACAAGACAGAAGGGTCGTTGAGAGCCACCAGTAAGCCCATGACATGGATTGGCGGCTGCGATGGTGACTTCTTGGCGCGAGAGCACAATTAAATTACTGTTCTTATTTGAAAGTGAAATGTTCATAGAAAAGGGGAATATACAATACTAGAAGGAGAGGCAAAGTGTTGTAGAAAGATTTATACACCGTGTCAAAAATCATTTCGCACTCTACAGTAAGTGAACGGGTCATAGATAAACCCATTGGACGGAAACGAACACAGTTCTGGAAAGAAGCGCGCAAGCAGGAAGCAACAGGTAAAGAGTAGCAGCTACAGTTAACGAAATGTACCAACTGCCTTATCACCGAATAGGAAAACATTATGCGCGCTGAAACAAGAGAAAAAAACCAAGAGATCGCAGATGAAAATTTGCATGTAAGAATTAATTTCATCAATCACATCAAAGAATACAACTGGTCCATGAAACTGACATTTTTGCATGTCTAAAAGCGGTTGGATGCCCAAACTGAAAACTGGTGCAAATGTGTCGCGACATTTGTGTGGCAAAGCAATGGTGATGGCAATACGACGTGTGCTAACCTACATATGATCCAAAAGTTTATAACCCGATTTACCCAGCATTTGTGAATTGAGCGCTTCTGGAATAGCATAGACCAAATTGATAAAAAATTAGAAATTTAAAAATGGAGAAAGGAATCGCCCGCAAAAGATGCAGAAGGAAGAAAAATACAAGAAAATAATAATGCGACGAACTTTGTATTAAACAGACGGTGAAACATGAGACTGAGAAGAAGGAAGAAGAGAATAGCACGCGACAGACTCCGAACGAGGTAGGATAAGGTGGTTATGGATTTGGCGAACGTATAGCTATACTTCATTGTTCCTGACTGGGGAGATCCGAAGAACTCGAACTGCATGTACGCATCATTGGGTGCGTCCTATTGTATTGTGGAATACACTGCTGTGTCTTGTTGAACTGCAGACTGTGGTGTGTCATATGCTTCATAGATAGTGAGTCGTTTGGTGGTATTCCCGGCTGTGTCCTTCATATTCTGCAAAGCAACAATCCGAGTGGTGCTTTGGGCTAACTGCAATTTCACCCTTCTGTTTTGAACGAGCAGGACTGTAATTATCAGCGCAAAGACGATTATCACTAGGCTGATAGAGATGGCGAAGGTCACAATAGAGACGCAATCACTGCTGGTTAACACGTATGTAGCTTGGGTTTATTCAGTGAATTCGGTGATATCAGTGTCCATAGCAGGAACAAAGACAAACAAAGAAACACGAGAGACGAAACCTGGTTGTTTGCCCCGCATGTACGATTCTTAAAGTACATACTATCGGCAGTGAGTCTACAGATGTGCCAATCCAATCCTGCTTAATATTTTTATAACACAGTTCAAAATCGTTGCCTGACATGTTGATCAAAGCACACTTGAAATGAACGTTATTGCCCGGCACTTATAGTCTACTTGAGTACAATCATGTAGCTCCGCCAAATTGAGGTTCGCAGGACAGGAACCAATTTTACGCCATATTGTCTCCATGAAACTAAAAGAGATTTATGTATGTATTGAATAGAGTGAGTAACGCACTCTGCAAAACACGTCAGAAGCAAAATCCACATGTCATGAATAATCCTAAACGTTCTACAGGACCAACTCATCACAACCACGCGCTCTTCAGCCGAACCATACAGACACCAGCAAGGACACTTCCGTTGAGAGATAATATTGCTCTACGCCTCTAGACAGCTGTTTCGCTCCCTGTCGGAGCTCATCAGTAGAGGATGATAATGATGATAATGGAGGAATGATCATTCTTATACACCAGAAATGGTGCAAGTGCGCGCTTTCCACATATATCAATGGCATATGCAATATTATCTCTCAACGGAAGTGTCCTTGCTGGTGTCTGTATGGTTCGGCTGAAGAGCGCGTGGTTGTGATGAGTTGGAATGCAATGAATTGAAAATATGGCCGAAAGCTCTGTCGCAATATTGAGTTCTACAGGACCTCTCACTATATTCATTGCGTTATAATTATCTGTATAATTTCCACATTTTATAGACATTTCAACTTCAGAAATCACTCACCATCACATGCTGAACCAGCATAACCGGAAAGACAGGAACAAATGTACGATCCGTTCAGATTTAGACATTGCCTGTTTTTATAATTGATCATGTTGTTGCAACTGTGCATGCCTCTTGTACACTCGTCAATGTCTAAACACCCATTGAATAGATAAACATTATCACACAAAACATATTTGCAGACAAACGAAGGCACACATTATACAGTGACACAGGAACGCAAACATACATTCATATAAAATGGATATGCACAGGGAAAACACCAATCAAGTAGCAGCAAAGATTAAAAATCCAATATCATCTACCTCTCGTTTCGGTCCGCAATGAAAATGGAAGTATGAAGTTAGAACAGCAAACCAGGAGCCAAGTTTACTCCCATTCGTTTATTTTTTCGTACTATGAAGGACAAATTAGAGGAGGCCAAAACGGTACGAGTGATGATAAACTGGTCACCAAACGTAACCAGATCATATACAGTTGGCGAGTGGGCCAAAATGGGATAAAAATGACAGGGAGCACTGTCCGTAAGTCAGCCATAACTCATACCATTTTCCTTCTTCCCTTTATTATCTATAATACATTTCGCTCGCTATCCGAGTTCAACTTGGATCAACTGTTTTATTTATGCATGTGATCAAACATGTCAATTTAAGAAATCACTCACCATCACATTCTGAACCAGCATATCCAGGAAGACAGGGACAGATGAAGGATCCTTTCTGATTCAGACATTGTCTGTTTTCAAAATTGATCATGTTGTTGCAGCGGTGCGTGCCTCTTGTACACTCGTCAATGTCTCCACATCCATTGAGTAGATCAACATTATCACACAAAACATATTTGCAGACAAACGAAGGCACACATTATACAGTGACACATGCACGCAAACATACATTCATATAAAATGGATATAAAATAAAAAATAAAAAAATTCGACGGGTTCGCGTACCGGGCAGTTCAAGAACAAGAAGTCGTACAACTCCCTGGTCAAGAACCACCTTTCCGCTTCCGTGGGACGCCACCACCCCATGATCAGGCGTCAGATGCGGCTCCTAAACGGTGGGGGAGGATAGATCAGATCCACCAACCATAGGCCAAAGGCCTAAATCCCATTTGCCACATCCATGATTTACTCATGCCAGGCCACGAGTTCCCAATTATCTGTGGGTCGCAGCACGGTTGGAAAAATCCTTCCGCTTCCAAGCAGGACTTGAACCTGGTACCTCTCGTTCATTAATCATGGTCTTAGACCAACCCACTGTGCCTGCCTGATCTATAAAATGGATATGCACAGGGAAAACACCAATCAAGTAGCAGCAAAGATTAAAAATCCAATATCATCTACCTCTCGTTTCGGTCCGTAATGAAAATGGAAGTATGAAGTTAGAACAGCAAACCAGGAGCCAAGTTTACTCCCATTCGTTTATTTTTTTCGTACTATGAAGGACAAATTAGAGGAGGCCAAAACGGTACGAGTGATGATAAACTGGTCACCAAACGTAACCAGATCATATACAGTTGGCGAGTGGGACAAAATGGGATAAAAATGACAGGGTGCACTGTCCGTAAGTCAGCCATAACTCATACCATTTTCCTTCTTCCCTTTATTATCAATAATACATTTCGCTCGCTATCCGAGTTCAACTTGGATTAACTGTTTTATTTATGCATGTGATCGAACATGTCAATTTAAGAAATCACTCACCATCACATTCTGAACCAGCATATCCAGGAAGACAGGGACAGATGAAGGATCCTTTCTGATTCAGACATTGTCTGTTTTCAAAATTGATCATGTTGTTGCAGCGGTGCGTGCCTCTTGTACACTCGTCAATGTCTCCACATCCATTGAGTAGATCAACATTATCACACAAAACATATTTGCAGACAAACGAAGGCACACATTATACAGTGACACATGCACGCAAACATACATTCATATAAAATGGATATGCACAGGGAAAACACCAATCAAGTAGCAGCGAAGATGAGAATCCGATATCATCTTCCTCTCGTTTCTGTCCGCAATGAAAATGGAAAAATGAAGTTGGAACAGCAAACCAGGAGCCAAGTTTACTCCCATTCGTTTATTATTTTCGTACTATGAACGACAAAAAGTAGAAGGCCAAAACGGTACTAGTGATGATAAACTGGTCACCAAACTTAACCACATCATATACAGGTGGCGAGTGGGACAAAATGGGACAAAATTGCCAAGGAGTACTGTCCGTAAGTTAGCCATAACTCATACCATTTTCCTTCTTCCCTTTATTATACATAATAAATTTGGCTCGCTATCCGAGTTCAACTTGGAAAAACTGTTTAAGTTATGCATGTGATCGAACATTTCAATTTTATAAATCACTCACCATCACATTCTGAACCAGCATATCCAGGAAGACAGGGACAGATGAAGGATCCTTTCTGGTTCAGACATTGTCTGTTTTCATAATTAACCATGGTGTTGCAATTATGTGTGCCTATTGTACACTCGTCAATGTCTCCATATCCATTAGTAGATCCAAATTGTCGAACGCATATTCCGGAGCGTGTGCATCCATATGCCAAAAATTGTACGTTCATGCAATGTCATACAAACACATACACCCACCCACACCCACACCCACACACATACGCACCCACACATATTAGATATTCACTTCACTAATAATTATTATTCTTTCTCGTTTACTTGTAGTGGTTTCCTTGCCGAGCAACTTCTGTGGGTACATACTTTTACTTTTTTTGTAATTCTGAAACTAATTTTGGTGCATCCATCGAAGTATGGTGCGCATGACCCTGAGTTGATCCCAACTCACTACAGAGAATGAAGATACGTGGATTGTGTCGAATACAAAATATGCACATACACAGCACATGCAGCATGCATAGTATTTGTGGACATTATGATGGAAATGCAGAGCAAAGTCCTAATCCAGCAGCATGCAACCAAGAGAGATTTTGAAGTTCACCTACTTCTTGTTGGTGTTGTTGGTATACGTATGAATATGTAGTTTTAAAACGGGCCCATGGTAGGAGCTATGTTCACTTAGTCATTACATGATCTACTTACTTCGTACATAAAAGGGGAACTACACCCAAAAATCAAAACTTCATTATCCGTTGAGTTTTGGATGCTGAGTCGAATGGTGAAGCTCCCACTTCGATCCGACCAAGCGTTCCTGAGATATCTCCGGTTTAAATTGTACTTTCGGGGGAGGGGGGCACGCCATGACGTTATGCGGCCGCGACACACCCCCAAAACGCCCTTCTATGTCATTGAGACTAGCCTGCTTGAGCTAAGCTGAGAAGTACAAGTATTTTGGTATGTAAAAGGAATAGTTCTGACAAAGACGTCCTCACCATGAGCGATTCCGACCTATCAGACGAGCTTGAAAGCTCAGAGCCTGAGCTGAAAATGTTTGGCTTTGGACATGAGCCGAAATTTTCAGGAAAGGATATGGCAGCGCAAGCGGCGGCTTCCATTCGGGCTGTAAATGTGGATGAAGCAGAAATGACTGCGAAGTCGCTAACCATCAGCAACATCTGGGGACCGGTTGGCTGGGCTATTTCGAAATGAAGCGGCAGACCAAAGCAGCTCAGACAAGCCTGACAATCCGTGAGGGTTTTCACAGTATAGTCCTACGTTATGCTCACAAATAGAATCGTTCTCTTCATCATAAATTGTGTGAAATTTTGTATTTGCACAGTACTCAGATCAATAGTCTCCTCACCCGTACCCCTGTACATGGAGTTTGCTGCGTAACACAGTATCTCCGTGCAAATCGTGCAATGTGTATCGGCTCACTTATGCTTTATCTCACATAAGTGGACTGCACCTCAATTCGTCTTGTGGCGAAATACATTTTCACTTTTTGAATGATCACTTAGTCTTTACAGAGTGCTGAGACGTTCTCTTGCATTTCACGTAGCTGTGTACCAACAATTACGCTGTGCACTCTAGCAGCAGCAACAGCACAGTAGCATATTGAGTGCGTTTTGCCCTACTGTGGTGTCTCATAACTGCATTACCGGAACAGCTCTCTGTCCTTCTTGATTATCATTCTAACATGTGTGCACATATCCGCCTGCGCCCCACACACACGAACGCACATGTGCTGACCTTAGTGGGAACATAGTATAGCAGTCACACATGCTCACGCACGCAGACACGCAATTTCAGAAGTGCGTGCGCACACGAGTGCATAAGCATCCAAGTGCCTGTGCACATGCTCGAGCACGCACACATGCGCGCACTTAGGCACTTTGTTGCACACGCACACGTCCTTCAGGATCACTAATGGCAATGCATCTACTACTTGTCGTTTCATTTGCCTCCCACAAGAGGAGAAAATGACATAAGGGAGAACACAAAATAGATGACGTGAATATCTTTGGAATGTTATATTACGTTACACAAAAAAGCACACGCACGTGTGCGCCTGCGCGCGCCCACACACACACTCACGCGCGTGCGCGCACACACACTCTCGCGCGTGCGCGCACACACACACACTCATGCGCGTGCACGCACACACAATAGAAATAATTTCTGTCTCTCACCCGCGTGCGCGCAAACACTCAGGGGCGCGCGCACACACACTTACGCTCGTGCGCGCGCACACACACACTCACACGCGTGCACACACACACAATAATAATAACGTCTGGCTCTCATCTGCATTCATACTGAGAAAACGCAACGAGTTCCTGAATAGGTGTACACTGGTGCCGGTATGCGGATTATCTTCTCTCCTTGAACTGCAGGTCATTGCGTGATGTAGCTTTTCAGCAGTACAATACTGTCCGTTCATACAGAAGAAGAAAAAAAATGCCAGCTAAAGCCGTTGGCGCTGCAAACAGTCCTTCCTATAACCTTTGGGCGGTGGCAATGGTCGTAGCTCAACAGTGAGTCACAGCGATCGATGGTACAGTCGCTCTTGATCTTCTTCCTGTAAAATCAAGAACAGCAATAGCAGACGGGTTCATCGATCCCACGCAGTATAGCCTAGGGAAACAGTCGATCTACTGCCGACAACCTGTCATCAGGCCGGTTTCGGAAAGTTTCACATTTCGTAGTGATGTAGTCCAAAACTATTCTACAAATGCTTTGGAAAAGAAAGAACTACATACAGTAGCTAGTGTTTTTGAAATATTGCACTCACCTCCATCCGCTTTTTGACCGACGCTTCACAGTGTGGCGGGCGAAAAAGGGACACACCACAGTTTCATCCACCAGCCTCCGCAAGGGAAAAGTGCATACTATTCCTCCTGAAAATCCTCCTCTGCCAAATGGCTGGAACCCACGCGAAGGAATTACATTGTAGTCCCGCAATTGTCAAGCAAATAGTTATGTCGCTTGATAGCGGCTATAGTGCACTGCTCGGCCTGTGCCAAGCACAATCCTTCGGAAATTGGTGCAGGTTCTTCCCAGGGGGTTGCCAGTAAGATTATAGTAGCCAACAACACAGCCCGAAGCCATTATGCCAGCAAATACCCTCTTCTTCCATGGACAAACAGAAAAAAAGATGCGAAATCTCAGTGTTTCTGGATCTGGCCAAAGGATCACCAAGTCTCAATGACATCACGGATTTGTGACGTCACGGCTCGGTTCCGAAAAGTACAATTTCAAACTGATATATCTCAGGGACGCTTGGTCGGATCGAAGTGGAACCTTCACCATTCGATTCAGCGTGCAAAATTTACGGACAATTAAGTTTTGATTTTTTGGTGTAGTTTTTATTGCGTTCTTAATGTGAATAATTATGATCAGAGGATAAGCAGCAGGAATCGCCCTTGAATGGTTCTGCGTTGAAATTCACCGCCCTCATCGCCCTATGTGGCCGCCGAAATACATACACGCACTTACCCACAGCAGCAACAAGAGGTTCCCTCGAACAGTGAATTTTTCCTCTGGTTGCTGTTGTGGACAAGTCAGTGTAAGTAACCGGTGGGCCATAGAGAGACCTGGCGGTGATGAGTGTCAACGCAGAATGTGTATATAAATTTGATAGGACAATATAACTTCGGAAATAGCTCACCATCACATTCCGAACCACCATACCCAGGAAGACAGGGACAAATGTAGGAACCGTTCACATTCAGACATTGTCTGTTGTCATAATTGATCAAGTTGTTGCAGTTGTGCGTGCCGCTTGTGCACTCGTCAATATCTGAATGATCATGAATTGATTATAATTGTCGCGCGCCCATACCGGTACACAGGTATCCACGAGAGGATAACACGCAGACATGCATACACAAATCCAGGCACATACACACACACTCACTCACCACACGCACATACACACACACACACACATACACACACACACACAAACAAACACATCTACACACAAATAGAAGCACATTGTACTTACATCGAAAAACAAACGAGCAATGATGCACTGATGGCAATAGTACAAACGATGTTAAAGTGACTCGATAAAGCAGGAGATGGCTTCAAGAAATTGTAAATTGGATAAAAGGATAGTATGGTACATACAAGCCAAACCAAATTCGGATGTTCAGCCAATAGTAATTACGTAAAAACGGAGTGAACAATGAGCTACTATCCGACTGTATATTATCTGCTTACCATGATGGACTGTTAGAAATAACTGGTAACTTATAGATCCTTTTCTCTTTGCAAGTTCTTATCTAATTATATTATTAGAAATAAATGGGAAAATCAGGTCCAATGCCAGAAGAAGGTAATCTAGATGAACCATATTAGAACCCTTTCAGTCATTGTTGAAGTGAGATCGAAAGACGAGTGGAAGTAAGTTGCTGTACCAAGGTCTTCCAAACCTTCGCGACGGAAACCAATAGTCGAAAGTCGCCGGATGTTCCCCACGTTAGTGGCACATCGTATATGCAATTGTCATTGCCATCGGTGTACTGGGAGGTTGGACGGCAGCTCTATCATTTAGAAGACTGCTGATGCTGCTGTTGTGCACACGGGCCATAAGGAAACGGAGTTTGCATTTGAAACGTTCAAGTACAGGGGTCATTGAGAGGCGAGTGAATTATAGGCGTGATATGGGACGGGAAGGGCAGATTGGCTACGCAGCGAACACATCACTTGTGGAGGAAAGTGAGGTGTTGTCGTTGCTAAGGCTTGAATTCAGAGAAGAACGCGTTTGATCCATGGAGCATGTCAGGAGGTATAATGGTGTACTAGCTGTGCTAGTACTTGTTAGCAACAATCCGAACTAGCGCACACACAGACACACTCCCTGTCTCAGCTCCATCCGTCGTGAAGCGGTCGTTCCCGTACTGCTGTATTGGCGCATGGAACTCCCTTCCTGACAGGCTGCTGTCGCAGCGCCCACACAAAACACGTTTTCAGTCATTCAAGACAAAGGTCTACCGACACCTGAGAGACAGCAACTGGTACTGGGCAACAGATTCCCTGTAATTTTTCGAGCTCGTCGCTTGCCGGACCCGCTAATCCGCGTACCTGGCCTTGCTCAGAGTGCTCAGCTGTGTTTTGCATACATGGAAAAACTTGTTATGATTCTTTTCTTTTCTCTGCTTATTCTTTTACCAGGCGTGGGCCATCCCCTGGATTATCAAAATGGGTGCCTTATTATTTTTCTGTTTTTAGCTTGTTTTCTTTACACTTCTTTGTGGGAGTTTCGTTTCAGATCTATTAAAAAAGTTCATAAGTTTTGGTTGATGAAGTTGACATGTACATTGTATATCAGTCCAAACACTGATAATAAACTAAATTAAAAAAGTTCATAAGTTTTGGTTGATGAAGTTGACATGTACATTGTATATCAGTCCAAACAATAAAATCTCTTTTCATCTTGTTTTTATTTTTCTAAACACCTACCGGTACTTTTACCTTCTATTCTACTTCCCCATAGCTAGATCTAGCTTTCCTTTACATTTCTGTTTCTTTTTCCTGGTGCGTGCTTGTGGCATTGAAGCCGAGACCTTTGGTCGGTGGAGCCCCTGGTACCTCACCATCACTGCTGCCCAGTACAGCCCCTGCTCAGTAGCTGTTTGATTTTGTCGACATAATTATAATATTTTACGAGTTGGGTTTGTGAATAATAGTAAAAAAATAAAAAAATAAAAAAAATAAAAAAAACTGCACTGCATTGCTTTGTACTGCATTCAAGACTGACCTCATGCGCTTTGTTTTGCTGCGTAATCATAAATGGCACCAGCCCATCTTGCTGAAAAGAAAAACCAATCTTGTTTGACCTGTTGTGCTCTTACAGACAAACGATCGTTCTTTAGCAGTGTTTCTTTTCCCACCATCCCTCCCTATCCAAATTATTCACACCATCATTATAAATATCGAACACACTAATCGGGTCCACTCTCACAACTGGTGTTATCTAGCTATTTGCTGCGGCTCTGCCTTGCGCTATATAACATCCATTTAGCATTGCATTTTTTCGTTGAGTTAACACCAGCTCTTCTTTGAGCTAATCGCAGCTCTACTTTGAGCTAATCGCAGCTCTACTTTGAGCTAACCGCAGCTCTACTTTGAGCTAACAGCAGCTCTACTTTGAGCTAACCGCAGCTCTACTTTGAGCTAACAGCAGCTCTGCTATGAGCTAACTGCAACTCTGCTCTGAGCTAACACCAGCTCTACTTTGAGCTTCAAACTAGTTGTTTCGAAACCAGCACTCCTCAATCCAAAGATGCCTTTTGTTGACTTTTTTGTTTGAGGGATGGGGCTAAGGTCAGAAAGGGGGGGGGGACTCGTGGTCAGATAGAGATGGCCGAATGGTTCTCGGTTAGCCTCTGGGAGGTTTTGCGTACAATGCTGGAGATCTGCAAGCCTCACCTAAGGCCGCGGTCACACCAAATAAACCGTTTTCCGCTTGCGCTGAAAGTGGCGTGTGCTGAATGGGGCGGTTGGTCACACCACAGCGCGAAATCGGCTGGATTTTGTTGTGTGCTAAAGTTTTTTTTCTTCCCGCTCATTTTTGAATATGATTTTCTCTTGTTTTCACGTGGCAAACAACAGAGTTTTGTTGCTGGGCATTGGAGAGGAGTTTCATTGGAATCAAAGTTCTTGTTTGAAAGATTGAGGGAGGTTTGAGAGTCGTGAGTTTGTTGTGCAGCCATGGATCCTGAAACTAGACGCCGTGTTGTTGTCTGCACTTCCCGTCCGCCTTCTCCAGCACACTTCTTCAGCTCGTCCAAGATCCACGCTCTCTTTCTGGTATTCTTTTTCATAGTGGTCTCATGCTTGGTTTTTGCTTCAAACCAAAGCTCCAGTAGTCTCCGCTCCAGTGCTACTGTCCACAATTCCATGATGACCGACAAAAAGGCAAGGAGAGAAGTTTCACCAACAACGAAACCAACAACGAAAGCCGAAAGGTGGCAGAACACGATGCAAGCTGCAAGATGCGCTTTGAACGAATATATTTTTCCCGCCACTGCGCCAGAATGGCTGAAAGTGGCTGAATCCATTCAGCGCTCCCATTCAGCGCTTTGAAAACGGCTGACTGCTGAAAAAGGCTGAATCCGAAAATTCAGCCGTTTCCGTAGCGACGATGACGTCAAAAAGCGCTTTTTCCGCTGAATGGCTGAATCGCGCTTGGTGTGACCGCGGCCTTAGCCAGGAATATACCCAATGCAATAATTACAAGCGCTGATAAACCAGCTAGCTACTTCCTCAATTGGCTAAAAATATACACCGGCAGATAGTAGAACATCTCTTCTAGCACTGAAGACATGTCCCCCATCATCCTTTTTGGGTTTTCTTGAAATAAGCAATTTTGAATTTTTCCACTCGACGATTCTGAATTACGTCCAAACTCATACCAGCGCAGGACAGATCGCCCCTCCGCGAGGTGTAGTCAGAAATTTCTCCTCCAACGCCACTCCCCACGCTGCATAACAAAGAGTAATGTTGACTCTGACAAGGAAAAGCAGCGGTGAACAATTTTCACTCCAAACGACAAGCTACTCCTTGCGCCACCAGCATTATTCGATGCAACAGTTGATGCAAAAGTGACGGGATTTTTCCGCGTGTAGTTTCTGGATTTCACTGCAAGTTGAATGATGAAATCACGTGTATCGTGACGTAGAATAATGCTTTCTTGTGCACGACACAATGCACACGATCGTTCCTGAGGCGCTATTCGAAACGGACTATGCGGAAGGAGGTAAGATGCATGATATTTCTTGCATGCTCTGCCCAGAACATGCAGAAACTATCGTTATAGCGCAAGCAGTTTTGCATTGGCAAGAATTCTTAGAGACATTTGCTCTTGGAGTAAGGCAAGGTTTCATTTTTTCACACTAGAGAGGTTAAGTTACACGTTTTTTGCCCTTTTTCAAAACGCGGTGCAAATCTCACGTTACGTGTAATTTTTAGAGGTTAAGTTACACGTGCGACCTGACGTGAAATTTTGCCTGGCAGGATTCGGGTTTAGTTCGCACAAATATCAAATCTTCCAACAAACTCGATAAAACTGGATATAATTCCGAAACCTCACACAAATTCGGACGGAATAACCAAGCGAAACCTCCAAAAACTCACGTCATGAACTTACGTGCGGGGCAGTCAACTCACGTAAAACACGTCAAATTTTACGTGAGTTTTTTCCCATTTTGACGTAAAGGTTCACGGACGTAAGACTTTTACGTGAAACTTATCCTCTCTACTATCCTCGTTTATCCCGAACATGGTTCAACAGGCACTACGGCTAGTTTATATTCTGATGATCCATGTAGGTCTGCAACAGCAAGGAATGGCCGTGGCCTATGCCATCAAGGTCGCTTGGAGTTGACCAGCGCGCATCCTACCCTGGTTGACTTGGGGTATGTGGCGCGCCCACATGGCAGATTTCTTACGTCATTAACAAAGTGATTTGACCCTACTCGCCGTAGTCTCTGTGCTGCATGTTGAGGGAAAGTCCCGGATGGAAGGCCTACAACACGACATGCGTGCTCTTTAACTGGAAATCAAGATGCACTTGATCCGATCTAGATCAACAGGCGATCCATATGAATGCAGGTGCGCTTGATCAAGGTGACTGGGAACGACTGCTCAATCGTGAACTACGAGACCTGGCATTCTTGTGTCACGAGGCACGTGATTTCATCATCCCTCTCGCACTATAATCCAAAAGCTACAAGTAAACATTCAGTGAAACCCATTATTCTAACGAGGCGCATATAAATGTACATATTATAA